GGCCATCTGCCTCTCCCCCATTATCCTCGGGCTGTAAGGGACATTTGGAGACAAGAATTTACTGGAGTCACAAAGCACCCAAAATACCTAGGAGTACATTAAGACATTATCTCAGGAAACTTAGCCACTCCAGGGGCAAATCCTACTATCCCTAGGTGTCCTCCATCACTCGTGTCCTGGAGCTTAGCATGCTCAGGAGCTCCGGCAGCAGCAGGGAGGCAGCGTGTGCTCCTGGGCTACCTTGGTGCCAAGCCAGCAGGTCCAGCTGCCTTCCTCGTTGGTTTGCCTCAAGGCTTTGAACCGCACCAAAAGCAACCTGTGTCCTGTCGAACAGCAAAACTCTGGGACAGGACTTCTCCACCACAGCCACAAAGTCAGCTTTTTCTTGCTGGACGTACCTTTCTCCATCATTGCAAGCCACACTGCAGCATCCCTAGGCTTCAGTCACCATGTAAATGCAAGGCAGAAGCAGAGATCCTCTCAGTGCTATTTAACATATCCATACTCCTCTTCCATCTCTCTCTTACTTGGTAGCTTATGAAGCAAAATCATGCAGGAATTGAAAAAAACAAAAAACAAAAAACAAAAAACAAAAAACAAAAATCTGTCAACTTGTTCCTCCACTCCTGGGTCCTAAGGCAGATTTCTCTAGAGATTTTGTTTTGTTCTGGGTGGAACCTGTCCCGTGTCATTTTAGGTGCTAGAGAAGTAAGTAGATGGCTGGCTCAGCCCATCCTTTGAACGCTGTATCTGGTCAGTGGTGGGAAATGCACTCAGCTCACAGCTGATTCGGCCTCTTTTAGACACCTACCATAGGGAGGGATGATATATATGCCCTTGGAGTGCTTATTTCTCTCCACTTGCTATAGAGAGAGCCCAGATGACTGGCTCGGAGCTGGATGCCTGCAGCCGAGCATCTAAAATTGGGGTGGGCTCCCATTATTCCCGACTTTGGGGTGTGTCTAGCATATTTTTGGGCCCCCACTCACCAGAGCACCAGGGCACATGCCTTGCTTCAAAGTGGCGCTTCCAGGCTTTGCTGCAGGGAGGTGGCGTGGAGCGCCCGCCCCTGTGCCAGCCAGAAGTAGCTCCTTAGTGTGCTTTTTATGGGGGATTTACAAAGAATAGCAGAAAATATTCCACTGTCTCCAGCTGTGTGCGAGACAGCAGAAAATTCAGTGCAGATCCGTTCAGCTGGACCAGACTCGCAGTAGCGGTAATAAAATTGGGACGCCTAAAGTTCGCTTTTTCAAAAGGTGCGTGTTGGGTCCTCATCTCTGTGGCAGGGAGGGTCTGTTTCTATCACAGCTGCTGCAGTTTTCATTTGTCTTTGACCAGTTTTAAAAATCCTTTTTGCACCATCAAATCTAATAGAGCAAGGCACTTTTTGCAACTTCAGGGGCATTTCCTACAGAAGTTCCCCACTGTCAGCTATTGCCATCAGCAATGACACCCATAAGTAAGAGAAGGTACAGAAAAAAAGATGAGCATTTTCTTTGCAAAGAGTATCACGGCTTTTTAAGTGCAAAAGAAACAGAGGCTTTTCGTGCTTTTGGGTTTTGAAAATGCCTTTAGTTAAACCGGACAATGTATTTGTTTTTTCTGGAACAAATCTTCCACGTTTCACCTAGAAAGGGGAAAAAGCCTCAGCTTTAGCTTCTGTATAAATATTTGCACAAAGTTAACTCTAGAGTTTGTGTGTGATCGTCTTTAATTGCTTTAAATAATCATAATAAAGAAAAGAACCACTGAATTTTCACAAGAAGAACTGCATGCAATTATGGACGAAGTTTCAAGCAGTGGCTTAAATGTACGGAGCTGGTTGAAATACGGAAGAAATGGATTTGGCTCTACGAGTTTGAAATGAAACAGAGCTGTTTCTGGAAAGCCATTACGAGCGTCAGTTTGGAAACCGGCTATCTCTGCACCTGCTGAAGAACTGCATTAAGACCAGCTTCCACTGCATTCTCCCTTGGCTCTACGAATATGAACAGCAGTAACAAATTTGGGGCTTCAGAAGACCCTATGGACAGGAAAGCAGGGCAGGGCGAAGCTGTGCTGACACGAAACAAAAGGAGGAAAGAGTAGAGCAGCTGAGAAGGGGCCCACTGCGTGTTTGCAGGGTTTTGAAAACTTGCTGCAGGTTGTGGGCTGATGTGAAAATTTCACAATGTGAGCTCGGAAAGCAAAGGCTGCCATTGATGCAAGCGGGAATAACAGTGGACACCCAGCTGCTGCACAGCGTGCATTCCCCCAGGCGCTGAGCTGTACGCAGCAGTTGCATCCAGCACTACTTGGGTGCAGTGTTGCACCTGGCTGTAACCCTGCTTATTTCTCCTTCTCCACCTTTAGGGCTAGGCGATGGCTGTTCTTTGCATGGATTAAGTAGGTATCAGCATTTACTAGGCTGTGACTGTTTGCTTTTACAAAATCGTGTTTTACTTTAGTACCTTTGTTTTCTTGGTACTCTTGAAAGAGTCAAGAGCTGCTTAGGGCGAATATCACCACCTTCTGCTGCTCCCACACCGACGTCCACACAAATACCAAAGGAAAGGTGTCCAAGCCCTCGAGCTGAAGGTAGCTCTGAATTTCAGGAGCGTCCCCCGCCCTAATTGCAAGCCGACTGAAAGTCTTGTGTCTGAGCAGCTCCAGGCTTTCTGGCGTTCAAAAACTCAACTCAGATCTGATATTTGGCCCGGCGTCGTAATGAAAATGGAAAATTGCATTTTGAGCCTCGGCCTTCCTGAGGAGCAGCCCGTGCCAAAGCCGAGGCGCTGGAGATAAAAACAAGGATTTGCAGGACACCGTGTCCCATGGCAGGCAGAGGTCAGCGGGAGTTTGGAGCCGAGTGGGACTGGCCCCTCTGGCTGGAAACTTTGCTTTCGCCTCTGAGCTGCGCGGCCACTGCGGTTTGAGACGCACACAGGTGCGTGGTGGGGAGTGAGCCATTCGTTTCACTCCAAAGGGGATATTTGGAACCAGGGAAATGGCGGGTTTCTATGCGCTCGCATTCGTTGTTTCCTTCTCGAGCAAAAAAGGGACCTTCAGAACGCCAAAATCTTGTCTTAATATTTCACGGAAGCAAGTATTTTATAAACGCACGTTGCAAATGGCAGTATAAATTCTCCACTGTGGAAAATTGCTATCTGGTTTGAAACTAGGCAGGATAAATAGAACTATAAAAGGTTACCTGGAGTAAACAGATAGGGTTTCCAAAATGTACCACATGAGATAGATTGGAGCTCATAGTAATCTATTTTCCATGCTTAACATACGCTCAGCATCAGCTGAACTCTGTAACTGAGCTGCCATCTGTATCAATCCTGTTCCTAGATGTCACGGCCCTGTTAATGAAATCTGGAAGTGAAATTGTAAATGGATTCAGTGAATGGTAGATGTCAGCCATTGCGTGATGGGCAATCATCAATCATCCGCTGTCAGTTATTTCTGTCTCAGTGAGTAAGCCTTTATTTAAAGCATAAAGTAAGAATGTTGCCAGACCACAGGAACAAGCCCTGAGCTGTTTGCAGGTGCTGCTATTCACAGCTGCCAATTAAACCCCTGACATTTCCATAATGGCCAAGAGGCAAAGCATATGCACTTGATATAAACATTTTTGTAAAAATTAATCTCAGTTTATCAATACTTCACTTTTTTTTTTTTTCTTTTCCAGGGCTATGTACAACATCCTACTTGGCCTATTGTTTGTTTGCTATAGAGAGAGAAATATGAGTTGGAAAGCAGCCAGGGCGTTCATTTCCCCAGGATATACAGTAGATTCCAGTGGCTCATTTCAACCCTTAATTGGGGAGGGAAAGCGCAGTCGGGAGGAATCCCACCTTTGGAAAATGTCGTGTGTGTGCCCGTTGCCTCCCCAGCTCCGCTCTGTACCCTGCCCCTTAGCTGGGTGGAAATGTAATGCTTCATCCGGCCAACGCTGCCCCTGAAGGTACCCAGCCCAGTGGGGTTCTTGGCCCCTCTAAAAAATTGCCTCATCTGGAGGTTCCTACAGATCTCTGGGTGTATTACTGCTGCCTGACCCTTTTTGTTTCCCCTCTACCACCTGAAAAATAAATAAATAAATAAAAGTGCAAGCGCCTTTTAATATACGCATTCTTTTATTTGAGGCAGCAAAAAAAAAAATAAATTGTCAACTCAACTTATTAAAGGCATTCATCAGTACCTGCTGTAAAATTATGTATATATTTCATATAATTGCCAGTGACGAGCTAGCTTTTTGTGTGTGTGTGTGAAAATGTTTTCATGGAAAAAAATATATATATATTTCTACAGAAAAATAAACTGCCTAGCATTGCCACCTGACATTTATAGTTTGGAGGACATAAAACTTTTCTGAGGTCCCTTTATTTTTTACTCTCAGCTGTTTATAGTTCTTCAGGGGTACACTGATCTGTAAGTAAATACAGAAAAAGAAAGGGCTGCATTCACATTTTCAAGATTTCATCACATACTGATTGCTCTAGCCCATTTTGCTGCAAAGTCCAGATGGAGCAGAACACTAAGGGAGAAATTGGACAGCACTGGGGCATTCTGAAGTTGTCTTCTTCGCTCTTCATGGGATTGATTAAGATCACCTAAGTCAAACAGCGATATGAAGTGTATTTTCATGTATGGTGCTACCTGGCTGTAAAATTATGCACTATTGGATGAAATTAATTTCTGAAACCTGTAGGCTTCTGTTAACATGATATATTGGGAGTTGGTGTTAGAGGTCTTGCTGGCATGTGTGTATTAAATTGGATATGATTTTTTGCCAGATAGCTGTGCTGGTAGAAGTGCTAATTGTCAGATGCACATATACTGGTGCAACTTTTATTAGCATCACTTATTTTATTTCACTTAACTGAAATAAGCCATCCTGCCTTAAGCACTTCCCTGGCAGTGGAAATGTGTCTATATCGAAAAGTTTTTTACCTAGCAGTGTATTTGAAAGTGTAGATTGATCTTTGTTCAATTTGCCATTTCCTTTGTCCATGTAGGTGCCTTGTGAAATTCCACATTGCTCCAGATTTCAGGGATAGATGTTGCTTCATGTACCCAGGACCTGTTTCAAATTCAGCTAATTGAGGTAATTTTCTGACTTGTTTCTTAATTTTTAAAGCATTTTTTTTCCCATTCAAAACTATTCAGTATGTTTAAGATCCACAAAAATTAAGTCTTTAGACATTAGAAGAGAATTTTACAACTTAAGTCATGCTGCTCTGGATTAGGTCTTTTTAGAACTCGAAAGACCAAACTAGCTGAGTTACCCAGGATAGATCAACTAATCCCACTTGTATCTTTGTGGCTGTAAAGTAATCTTGGGGGCTCAGGATGCCTACGTGCTCATTATCAGCCAAGATGACAGTCTAATCTATGGACATTCATGCGAGCAGAAATAACTGCTGAATTGGGTGAGGTCATGCTGCAGTGCTACCACATCAGCCTCAGCCTCTCTACACTGAGCTAAAAGGCAAAGGTAAGGGTAACTAACCCACGTTAGGCTCAGTTCCTGCACTCTTGTAGATGTTAAAACAATAATAATAATATTGCTCCAAGTATGTCCACATGACAATGTAGAAATACCCAAGCTAGCTGTAAACGAACTATTGTGGATACTGGACGCAGTCTAGATGAGACAGCAGAGAACACCGAGAGGACTAATTTACCCTGCTTTTTGGCAGTGTTAGCTCCATATGGGCTAATTTATCCTGCCAGAAAGCAGGCTCATTTATGGCTAGCTCATTTATAGCCAGCCTGAGTACCTCTTCCCTATACTGGAATTTGCAATGTAGACGTACTTTCTATTAAGCTGACAAGTGTGTGATTGTAGTAAGTAAAAATATGGAGGTTGGGATTTTGAAGGCACTGAAGGGCTTCCTTCTAGGGTGGTTTAAGAGGTTACCACCTACAGCAATCTGCTTTGTGACTTCTGCTGAAGCTAACTTTCCCCATGCACATGGGATCTCATGGCCACTTCTTGAGTTTACAGCACAGTATCTTAGCTTAAATCATTGAAGAGGATGTGCTTGCATTAAGAAGCTAAATGATGAAGTGAATCAGAACAGATGTGTCTGTGGGTATTGCAGAAGCAGGGCAGGCAGCTTGGGTGATAATGCTCAGTGTTGTTCTTCTTAGAGAGCCCAAAGAGAACTGGGCACCAGGTCCTGTGAAAATTACTGCAATTTCTGCTTCAGAGTGCGATAGGAGTTGGGTGTCTCATTCTCCACAAATTCCTTGAAAAGAGCTGGCAGCAAGATGTCTTTTTAGGACTGCATAGATCCAAACATTGCTCTCTGGTCGCCTACTGTAAAGTCTGATTAGGTCCATGATCCAGTAAAGAAGCACAAACTTAGCTTTCCAGTACAACCAAGTGAGATTTCTAAGGTGCTTAAAGCTAAACATATTTTTTAATGAAGGTGTGTTTGTTCAAGCTCTACCTCCATTTACTTCAGGGTAGTTAATACGTGTTAACACTTCTGGTGCAAAGGGAAACCAGCCTTTAGAGCAGGATTTGGCTTTCAGGGAAGAAAATGGATACCGGCAGCAGTTCTTACTTCTGCCGATGCAGTCACGTACGATGTGCTCCCGGCTTGTCTCTTGCTTCCCTGCCTCATGGGCTGCCCAGCTATGATCTAGTGTGCTGACCTTACAAGCCAAGTAATGACTTTCATGCTGCTGAATCCCATCAGGAACTTCATGTCTCTTGTGGTCGTCTTCATCCATGGCTAACTTGTATTATCATTGGCACGCTTAAAATTGTGATGTTATGTTTCAAATGTTTTTAAAGCTGAAACACACAAGCTCTTTTATTTCTCTTCTGCCTAGTAGGATTATTTCAGCTCCACACATGCAAAACCTCATATTATGCAAGAAATTAATCATATCAGGGTAAAGTAGCTACTGAAAAATTGCCAAACACCATAAACATTGGTCAAAATGCAGGCCAACCATTTGCACAGCAAGTAATTGAAGCTAGAGGTTCATTGGAGCGACGCGTAACTTTTCATTATGAATTAGAAAGCTTTTCAAACATAAAATGATATCTGAGAAGACTGCACCACCTAAAAGGTTTCAGTAAACACTGAAAAAAAGTGCTAAAATATGCTGGAGAGATCAATCATGCTTTATGGTTACTTGCTCCACGTAGTTTCGCACACATTCTCTGATAAACAATGTCCCACACGCTCTGCCCAGACCCATTATTTTCTTCAGCACCAAAGCGTCAAGGGCCAGATCCTCATTTGGTTTAAGTCAGCAGAGCTCTGCTGAGGTTGACTGCTTGCCGTTGATTTATGCCAGCTGAAGATCTGGCCTGAAGAGTGACAAAAATGTAATTTTATGTTTTATTTATGGGTGTAAAACAATAGTCCTAAAGGGAGCAGATGTTCCATGTCGAGGGAGGAGGTTTATGAAATGCAATTCCAGACACAAAAGCTAATCTCTGTGGTCAGGGAAGGCATGAGGCCTGTTTTACATGATGAACTTTAATTGAAATCTTGCTCTTTTGTGTTCATTTATTCCTTCTATTTGGGAGCCGACAAGCATCGTTTAAATTACTTACCAGCTGCCAGACACCTTAAAGAGCAATAAACAGTTGACTTAAACACCTGGAGAAGGTTGGACAGTCTTCACTTGTCCTCCCAGTACCTGCTGAAGTGGTATTAATGTGGTATCACATATTTTTAATTAAGTGGTCACTTTGCTGAAGAAATTTCCATCTGTTTCAGATGGAGCTGTGGGGAAAAAGATCATTCAGTTTTATGGAGGGTTTTGCAATTGTAAAATGTCTGTTTTTTCCAATTTGGAATGAAAACCAAAGCATTTTGAAATTCTCTAAAAAAGAGAAGGGAGCGTCTGCTTCTAAGGCCCAGGCCCCAGACCTCTTATTGTCCCCAGTGCCAAAACTATTCTCTTTGCGGACTATCTTCCCTCTGTAGATCCCAGAGTAGGAGTTCCTTGGCTGCTCTGAACCACTTGCCAAAAATTGAAGTAAGGGAGCTGAGAGAAAATCAGTGGTAGCAGCCTGCTTGCAGGGATGTCGTGGCTTTTGAAGCACCTCTTCATCATGTTTTCTTTCAATGAGCTGACATTTTTGTGTCCCACACCACCACACCTCTCTAAAAAGGAGAGTGCATTCATCGATGTGCCTTCACCTAGCTTTTCTGTGGCAGAGACACATAGCATGGTGAGGTCTGAGCTCTTCAGAAACACAAACCAGCAATCAGCAGAGCAACACTGATTCACATCAAATGAATTTTGGACCGAAAAGTGTAAGGATGAGATTTTGTGCATGACCTTTCGTGTCCCTCCCCACACCCATGAGGTCAAGTACAGTGCATGGAGATCTGGAGAACAAGCTGACCTTATCAGAGGCTAGTAGTGACATCTGAATCGCAGCTTCAGGAAAAGAGGACAAGTAGAGCCAAACTGGAAGTGGATATTCTCATTTTCTATTAAGAGTAAAAGAGTGAAATAAAAATACAGGTTGAGGAAGGTTGGGTATGAAGAACAGTATGGATCGGGAGCTAACTTTATCTCAGTTTCGTTGGAAATCCCAGATGTAATGTGTGATTTTGTTCTGAGGCAGGGTAAGTATAAGAAGTTAAAAATTCTCTATGAGCCAAAATTAGAAAAAGAAACCAAAGGCTGAAAATTGGATTGCAGGCAACACTGAAATATCTCATTCATGTTTCAGCATAATTTTTGTTAATTCATTTTAGAGATCGGGTGCATCTACATTGTAATACTTTTCAGCACAACAGCAGCAACGACCACAACTTTCCATTCTCAAAATTTCAAAACGGGAGCTTCCAAGGTTATAAAAATGCTTGATTTTTGTCCACCTCCCCGAATAAGAAGTTAGCACAGTAAGTTTTGCAGAACAGTTTAATTTTGTTGGGTATGTCATTTGTTCCCTCTAAAAACCTCTCAGACAGACATTTCCAGGCGCACGTTTCCAAGGGCCTGATTCACATCACGTAACAGGAGGTGTCTTTGGGTGCAGTCTTTGCAGCCACCCCAGTCACTCTAGACTTCCTTTAAGCCTCCCCAAACTACTTTTTTTTAACTGAAAGTTAGTCTAAGGTGACTAATGCCAAGGATCAAGTGAATCCTACCCAAATATTCTTGTTCCTGGGGGTAGCTGCTGTGTTACACTGTGGTGAAGCAGTTCACATCTCCATACACCATATGCAGGCAAACAAGAGAAATGTTTATGTATTGAAGTCATAGAAGAGTAATAAAATGCTCAAAAATTTGGAAGGACTTAGTTGGAAGGAAATCGGAACGCACCTAACCAAGTACAAATGCGGAGTGCAGGAGGAATACGTTAGATCCTTACTTATCACTCAAAATGTGAAAACAACTTAAGGGGAATAAAAATTAAGGCTTTCCAGGGGAGCCTAAGAAAGAGGTTGGGTTGTGATAAAGGGGGAAATAATTTTCTTATCAGATGATCTGTTTAGTCTGGGGAGTAGTTTTCAGGAGATGCAGTAGCCTCAGAGTTTGAGTCATTTCATACCAGAGCTTGGAAATGCACAATAGAGATCCCTCCTGTCTAGGCAGGGAATGAAAAAATAGGGTCTACTGATCTTATCCAGCCCTCACTTCATTCAGCAGGAATCTTTTCCACTGACTCAAGCAGGATTTGGATCAGACCCTTTTTTACCTCCTATGTTGATGGCTGTCTGAAAAGACTTAGGAAAAGACACAAACTAGAGCCCAAGTATGGCACTAAGAATGGCTTTTTTGGGCTGCTGTAAGGAAAAATGCAACTCTCAGAAAATTATGAAGAAGGCGGCTGGCAAATCAGAGGGACTGTTTTATAGCTGGGAGCTGAGTCAAGCTCCAAAATGTATTTACAGAATTAAATGACATTAAGCTAGGGTGTTGCTAATTCCCTTAAAACCGTAAGGAAACACTTCTCAAACAGCAGCTAGAAGGGCAGCGTCATTGCTTGGCAGGTCTTGCTTTTGCCACAGCAGGGGGATAGCTCTACATATCCAGCTCATTTTATTTATGTGCCCAGCATTTGAGAGTGGTTTTGTTGTGGGTAACAGAACATAGCTCCATTTTACATCTAACTCG